TTCAGCTCAAGCTTCATGCCTACTCCTGTACAGGAAGCAAAGAGAATCACAGGAAGGAAAGGTAGCCCATTTCCATGCCGATTGAACCCATTGCACTCTAGGATGTGGGCCAGCATATAATTGTAGATAATACTGAATGTGTTTTTGGCGGCTACATTGTTCAGTCATTTGTCAAAGCCAAATCAGATTAAAGTTTGATTACAATTGCTCGAGCACGTGCCAAGGAAACACTAAACACCCTAAGAAACCTTTAAAATAAGTTGATAAAGACCCCTGCCGCCACAGCATGCATCTTCAAACGTGTCTCTTGAGACCACTTGAGATCGTATTTCAAAAGGGAGGACTCCAATTGCAAAAATGCATGATTTTGGCCTACATGCATCACTCACCATGTCTGAGTGTTACTGAATGTGGTTAAAATGCATGAAAGTAAAATAAATACATAAAAAACAGGAGCTTTTAATGCGTATTGTTAGGCATTAGATGAACTCTGGCTGCAGGGAGTTTTTTAAACTTGTCATTTGTTTTATCATTTGGGGTTTTTAGTTGTTTGCAGCTAAACTGGCGAAGTGGTTGGCACTACTGTCGCCTCACAGCAAGAAGGTCTCTACTTCAAGTCCCAGCTGGGTCAGTTGCCATTTCTTTGTGGAGTTTTCATGTTTTACCCATGTTCATGTGGGTTTCCTCAGGGTGCTCCGGTTTCCCCTGTCCAGACATGTGGCATAGGTGAATTGAATAAACTAAATTGGCCATATTAGAATTAGAAGGGCATCCACTGTATAAAACATATGCTGGTTAAGTTGGCGGTTCATTACGATGCAACCCCTGATGAATAAAGTAACTAAGCCGAAAGGAAATGAAATAAAAATACACTGGCAAAGTTTAAAGCCATTCTTTTAAAACAGTTGTTGATTTATAGGTAAGTAGGCAATCCTTCAATCTCATCCAGGATGCTGTATGGAACACTAGGTGGATGCCATTTTGACTAAATCTTCCAAAACAGACGTAATGTGTTGCAATGAGTTTATGAAACTAGTCCCATTATAAAAGCACCACCAGTCCAGACAGCTTCAGCTGAGTACTGGCAAGTCAAAACCAATCAATTGCTGGTGCCAAGATTTGAGTTCAGTGAGAGCTTAGATCATAAAACGACCGCCAAGTTCTGCCCCCTGAATTGGCACATAGCTGCACCAGCATTTATCAGCATCATATATGTTTTCTCTTAGAATTAGATTGTTTCACATAGATTAATACAGGCAAATTGAGATTGCAGGGTACTTATTTATCTATTTTTTTACCAGAGATAATTAATATATATAATAGCACAAAAAAAATTATATTTGCCATCTAGCTATCTTTTAATTTTCAGATTTCCAAAGAAACAGGTAATCATAAAATCACATAATCTGTTATATATTCATTAAATTTATGTATTCTAAAAACACAAAAGAATATATATATATATATATATATATATATATGTATATATATATATTCTTTTGTATACATGCATATATGCATGTTTGTCTGGCAAGTAAGTACTCTTTTTGTTTTCAGGTGATAGTTAAAAACAAGTTTGGAATGAGTAGAATAGTCAAAATAAGTGATTCCATTGTTCTTCTTTGTGTGCTTACTACAAAAATACAATGGAAATCAGATTCTTTTTGGCAAGCAACCTCATATGCACAGACACTGACTACTTTGACAATAATGGATACCTCATATATATATATATATATATATATATATATATATATATATATATATATATAGATAACGAATCTGATTTCCATTGTATTTTTGTAGTAAGCACACAAAGAAGAACAATGGAATCACTTATTATGACTATGCTACTCATTCCAAACTTTTTAACTATCACCTGAAAACAAAAAGAGTACTAACTTGCCAGACAAACATGCATACACTGCCTACAGTACCTAGGTAGAAGCTCTATCCTGACAGCTCTGACAAGCCAAGGAATTTTACATCAATGCTACTCTCCCCCAACACACACACACACGCATACTGCCCTGCCTTGGCCTGCAGTAATGTGAATCACCTCCACACATTCACACACCTGTAGGGCATGTGTTACTGACAAGCACATTTGTTGTGTTTCAACACAGCCAGTCTGTCTGCCAAGCGTATGATACACTCTGAGGATATGAGTCAGTGCGTGCACACACAAACAAAAAAAAACACTTTTATACACTGCACTGGGTGTGGTTTGAAATACTTGAAATCCATCATAAATCCTAAAAATCAAATGTTGTTATATAAATTGCACAATTTAGCTGAGAGGGGTTGCACAATGTGAGCTTTGCTAATAAACTGCAGTTTGTCTTACTAAAATTGTTTATCTGCTAACCAAAGTTGTTTAAATTACAGGACTCGTTAAAGGGATGGTTCAATCAAAACTGAAAATTCTGTCATTATTTATTCCACCATCTCATTTCACAAACCTGTTTGAGTTTTATTTTTCTCTTGAACACAAAAAAGATATTTTGAAAAATGCTGAAAACCTGTAACCATTTACTTCCATAGTTTTTGTTTTTCCTACTATGAAAGTCAATTATTGCAGGTTTCTGTAACACTTTAGTTTATGTCACCGTCCATGCTTTATCTACTGGCTTTTTGCTTCCCTATTATTAACTGTTCATTAGTTATTATAAAGCTTGATCGTATTCTGCATTCCTAATCCTTCTCAACATCTTCCTCAATAAACAACTATCTAGTAGTTTATTAAGCTAGTGGTTAGTTATTCATTAATTCATTCATTTTCCATAGGCTCGATTTCAGAGGTCACCAGAGTGAAATGAACCGCCAACTGTTCCGGCATATGCTTTAAGCAGTGGATGCCCTTCCAGCCGCAAACCAGTACTGGGAAACACCCATCCACTCTCATTCACATACACTACGGCCAATTTAGTTTACTCAGTTTACTTATTGACCTTATTCGAAAATGCGGAAGTGCGCCTGTTTTCGCGATTGTTTTAGAACTTCCGATTCAGTCGCCTATGGGAGAAATGACTAGGAATAATAAACGGCAGAAAAAGGTCAAACTACTTGCTCTACAAACAAATGTTTGCATGACTATACAGACCAAGTATAATATTATAATAAGAAAATATCAGTTTGCAACATCAAACAGTGAAACGAGCAGTTTTAAATGTCTAAAAATGAATGGAAGTGAATGAGACCGGAAGTCTCGAGCCAAAAAGATTCAAATGGCTGCGCCCGCTCGTCGGCTAAGAATAAGGTGAATAGTGCATGTCCTTGGACTATGGGGGGAACCGGAGCACCAAAAGGGAAACACACGCCAACACAGGGAGAACATGCAAACTCCACAGAGAAATGTCAACTGGCCCAGACAGGACCCAAACCAGCGACCGTCTTGCTGTGAGATGTCAGTGCTAACCATTGAGCCAATGTGCCGCCTATTTTAGTCAATAGTCTGTTAATACTGTGAATTGTGACCTAAACTAAAGTATTACCCAGGTTTCTAACATTTTTCAAAATAACTTATTTTGTGTTTTACATAAAAAAAGAAACTCATACAGGTTTGGAACCATGTGCGGGTGAGTAAATGAGTCATTTGTGACTTTTAAATGAAGTGTTTCCTATAATATTCTTAATTTATCTTTTTTTGCTTCTCTGCAGTTTTGTTTATGTGGTAGTCCTGATTAGTCATCAAACTCAGCATTGTGGTACGTTGAGTATTTGGCTCTTGTGTGATTAACAGAATGCACATCTGTGCAGTTACACTAAACTCAACATCAGCCTCTTGCATAACTGGTGGACTTACTCTCTGCAGGATAAACATGAGGTCAGTCCTGGCGGTCTCTATGTTGAGCTACCAGGGTTGAAGGCAGTAGTGAGTTACAGGCTTCTGCACGCATTCTTTCACTTGCGTGTTAGGCTAGAAACTTACAATGCGTGTCTGTCGCTGCCATGGGCAACTCAGGTTTTTTGCTTTGTTTTGTTTTTAGTGAACCACCAAACTATCAAGACTGAAAATAAATTAAAAGGTATGCTAGAAACATTTTCTTAAATATGTGGGTCTCAATTAAGTGCTAAAGGTCCTCGCTGATACCATCTAATCTTAGTCACTGCTTGAGGTCAAAGAGGAAAATTAAAGGATGAAGAAGACCAGACATCACAGTGCAAAGACAAGGAGAAAATTTATATTTTTATATTTTTTACATTTATAAAGAACTTACTGAAGCTAAATATTCATTTAAACTTTTTTTCCAAGTAATGGGCACAGTTCTGGGTGGTTAAAGTTATGCCCTGAAATGACATAACGTCTTTGTTAGTTGTTGTGGATTTTAGCAGATGTCTTCATGCAGTTCATGCTGTGCTCATGCAGTTGTTATTCTAAAACATTCTGGTGCACTGCTGTTCATTGCATAACAAAGAGTTTGAAAATTAAATTCTCCATTAAGTCATACTGTGCCCTCAAATCTTTTATGACACATGAAAGTTTGAAAGGGAAAGTTGACAAGTATAGGAACAGTAAATACTATTTGAAAGGGTTGTAACAAGTGGAAGATGAGTGAATGATGACAGATTTTTTATAAATGATGATAAAACCTTCTTATTGAGTCATTGAGTTAATCGATTTGAGTATTTTTTTTAAACTCATGTGAATCAATCGTGAATAATGTAAATATTTATTTTAGAGTAAATAGTGTTAGTAAACCTAAATTGCAAAATATAGGCTACAAGGGTCACCTTATACAATGCACTTGCTTGTAACGTTAGTGTGGTGTAGTGAGGCGCGACGTTATCAGGTGTAAATAATCATTAATTATGAGGAAAACATTACTATTCTACATAACCTATAGGCAAGTAGATTAACAAGACGGAATACAATTGTAGGCTATTATATATGGTGTAGCTATTACAATTAAAATATTTGACTGTTCAAGCAAAGATTGCGGATTCTGCCTGCTGCAAGCCTTGTAGCCTATTGCAACAATGACCAAATAAATGCTTACATTCTTTTATCAGCTGGTCTGAGTTGTCGGTGCATGGCCATGGAGAACCCAAACAAGCTGTTGGCATCTCCCGTTTTCCTGATGACGTTCACTGTGTCCAGATTAAAGGCGGAGATCAGCGTCAATCCCAACAAACTGAGAAGCGGTACGGTTAAAGTCCTGTAAGATTCCATGTCTGTGTTCAGGTTCAGTTTGTGTGAGTTCTGGCTTTAGAGATGAGACTCAGTCCGCTTCTGGTGGGGTTGTGAATGTCTATAAGGGAGGAATCCCTCTTACGTCCCTCCTCTGCTTTTCCACCCTCCTCCGCCGTGCCTCTACCTGCTAATACAGCCCCGGGCTTCGCTTTCTGTCATTATTCTGCATTCTTCTGGTTATTCGAGCAAATCTTGGGGATTTAAACGTCGTTAAAAAATAGTAACGATTTCCTTCATGTCATTCATTTTTTCACACAACTCGTAGGCTACTGAGTAGAGACCACGTATTATAACGTTTAAATAACAATATAACAAGGATAGAGAGAAAAAAGAGTGTGTGTGAAAGAGTGACTAGGCTACATTCTCAATTTCGCTGGATTTACTTGTGTCTGAAAACGTCGCATTATTTTTGTTTTATGCAGCAACAACAAACACTTCAAAATTAAAATTATGAGTAAAACATTTATCGCTGATGAAATTTCTTTCAAATTTAACAAATATATAGTTATTGAGAGCATTTCCCATAAAATAACAATAAAATATAATTAAAAAAAACTTATTTTATTTATTATTTATTTATTCTAGTATTTTTACACACATCAACTGTTAACTCATAATGGTCATTAAAAATGATTTTACTTACTGTCATTTCTCTTCCCCCTAAAGCAATGAATTAAAATTTGCTCATCCATGTAGGTAATTGCTTTTAGCAATGAATCACACAAGCATTACAATTTTATCTGTTTATCTCTATCAGTGTTTGTATGAATTCTCATATATGCTAATGAACACATACATCACAGCCTATAATCTCTAGGTTTATTAGACCCCTCTGTGTTTTACACAATTTGGTTGAACCAGGCTAAATGTTTAGAAGGTGCCATTCCAGATCTGCTTTTATATTGTGACACTAAAACTATATAAGCATTGTAACTAACTATACAAATATAACTGAACTTGCTTAATGCTACCAAGTGGATTTGGGAGGTGAAAGTGGTGGTGGAAGTACACAAAGGGAACGAAAGACAATGCATTAATTAATTAATTCAGTTTCTTTTCAGCTTAGTCTCTTTATTAATCAGGAGTCACCACAGCGAAATGAACCGCCAACTTATTCTCGCAGCGGAAGCCCTTCCAGCCACTACCAAGCTTGGAAACATCAATACACACTCATTCACACACACACACACACACACACACACACACACACACACACACACACACACACACACACACACACACACACACATACTACAGCCAATTTAGTTAATTCAATTCACCTATACTGCATGTCTTTGGACTGTGGGGGAAACCGTAGCAGCTGGAGAAAACCCACACGTGGAGGACATGCACACCCCACACAGAAATGCCAACTGACCGAGCCGAGACTTGAATCAGGGACCTACTTGCTGTGAGGTGACAGGGCTACCCACTGCACCACCGCAGACAAGGGATAAATAGCCTAAAAAACAAAACTGCCATTTGAAATAAGGGAAAATATTTTTTTTACCCATTTATTGACCCATTACTAGTGTCATTTAATCTAATATCAAACATAAAACTTTATCAAAATGGCCACATAATACCAAAACAAAAACTACAAGTGCATCAGAATCTGAATAAATAGCAGATTTAACTCAATGAACATGACTTGGACAAAGAAACACAGTCACATGAACTTCATTAGGAATGGCCCATAGGAAAATCAAGTTTGGTAAAATTTAACCTCTGTTTTATTATTTTTTTTTTCTCTCACATAAATGTCTAAAAATGCCATAGCAGGAATTCAATGCCATGCATTTACATTATTCAGTTAAAATAATAACAATATTACTGGCAAAGGAGCTCAATTCATCTTTAAAGTCTCTCTAAACAGTGTTTTCAAATCTAAGAATAGTAAATTAAGAATAGTAAATATAAAAGTTGTAAGTTCAGCGCTGCTAGGAATTCCACATAAAGGTACATTCATCTAAACAGTTATGCCATTATTTACTTACCTTTATATTGTTTAAAATATGCATGTAGCTTCTTTATTCTATATAGGACATAAAATATGTGAGCATAACTGTAAAGTAACCAATCACTTTTTACAATGTGGGATAAAGCAGACCAATTCAAAAATATTTTGTGCTTTCTGGATTTGTCATTAAAATATATACTGTAGTTGATTCCCATAGAAGGTCAGTGCATGGCAACTATCAACTGTCTAATGGTTACCAAATTAGAATTTTCTTTTCTCAGTGGCTTTTATGATTGTAGTGTTACCATGCCAGGGATTGAGGCTACCACGGAGAATCTCTAGGGTGAGACATGTGAAAACAAATGGGCATACAGTGGCTGTCTGATTCATTGCCCTGGCATAGCCTTACAGCCACACCCTTTGAAATAGGACACACTTTATCTTAGTGTCTCTCTCTCTCTGTTCCTCACCCAGGTGAACTTCACTGTTCTGATGTCAGTAGTGTTGAAATGCAATGCCTCAGGCTGTGAGTGTTCAGAAACACTGGGCGGGTGTGGATCAAAGTGTGCAATCAGACCCCTCTTCTACACTCACAACCCCTCCTTTTCCTACATCTATTCCTCCCATTCTCTGTCAACCCCCATCCCTCAAACACAAGCCACTCCAATCACTTAATATGCACTCCCCCTTTCCTCCTCCGTTTTCTCAGTGACTTTGGTGGTCGGTGTTTCCACACAGCGCCAGCAGTAAATAAATCTGTATGGAGAGCAAAATCATCCCAGCACCGTAAATCTCAATCTGCTGCTGCTGTTCTATTCAGGTTGCTTTAAATCATATCAATGTCCCCTCTGTTCTGTATTCCACTCAAGTTTTTCAGTTTTTGTTGTGTACACCAGAGGATTGTAGATCTGACAGACTGTTAGCGTTTTTGAAGACACCTCAGGGATGTCGCAGTCTGGCCAGAGAAAGTGGATTCTTCTATCTCCAGAGGTTGTGCTAGGGCTGCTAATAGAGAGATTTGATGACAGAGGGTGCATCTCAATCAATCGCCTTGTTCAGTTGTCAGGGCACTGATCAGGGAGTCAGCCATTTTAAGGGATGTCTCAACTGCAAAATTCTTTCAGTGCACTGAAATGTTTGCTCCATAAAAAGTCAGAGCACATTAAAATCATAAAACATGAATCATGTAAACCAATGTTTTTACATTTATTTTATTTGTATTTTTTTTATTGAAATTTAAACTAGTGGTTGCAAATATGACCACATTTCAGGATTTCAATACCAATCCAAAATACCAGTCTTAACTTCTGTATTCCTATAACTCTTTTAGAAGTTTAGGTTTTTGTAATATTAACTTAATGAAAGTTCCTTGTTCAATACTGATACATAGATGGGATCAAGCTTTTTTTTCTCTGTTATGGATGTTCTGTGAAATGGTATAATGGCCTTAGAGTAACTTAGAATGGCCCCCTTTTTCAATCTCTTCTAAAAACTAATTTATTTTCCTTAGTTTTTAACTAGTATTAATCTGTTTATTTTCAGTTATGTTCTAAATTTTAGGATCTTATATTGCTCTTATATTCTTTTTATGTGCAAGCCCACAGCTGTTTTGAAAGTCCCTTTTAAATTAAACAAATACTAAACAAGTAACAATTTAGGAAACAGGGTTGATTGGTTAAAATTTTGCTGGTTTTCGAAATAATTAAATTGTTTATCTTTGACATACTTTTAAAAAAATGTACAATTCAAAGATCTTTCATGAAACTCTGATTACGCAGACTGAAAGGTTACACCTAATCTGCTCATATGTCATTAACAACATGGTGCAGGAGATGAGCTTGCTCTAATGAGCTTGCTCCTTAGTATTTTAAATGCCTCATTGTTGTATGTGCAGAGCGTTTTTTTTAAGACACTCCTCCAGCTCCACCTGTGTGATCTGCTAAGGGGGTTACTTATATATATATTTTGTTTGCAGCAGCAGTGTGTATATTCTCAGACTGCATGGCTGTAGTAGCAGATCTCAGTACATTTTATGCCATAATAAATCAAAGCAGCAGCGTAGCAGATATATAATCTAGACCAAACACATCAACAATGCCATGAACACATCACTATTGCCATACATATTAATTATCATACTAAATATCTCAGAAATGTTATGATTTCAAAAATGAATATGTAAAAAATATCAGTTCTGCTGTTTTTCATAAATTCCAAATTTGTTGATGTACTGCAAGAATGTTCTTATGTCCCAATAAGAGTTCCAATGTGTGGTAAACACAGTTTTAACAGTGTCCTTACACGTGCCAGAAATTGTGTACATGACCTGTGACTTCAGGACCAAGGGAGTTGATTGAGATTTACACAGATTCAAGTTTTGACATGTCCAAGGTGTAAGTGATCTTTAAGCTAATTGCACCACATTTCCCCTTTATGACAAGAACTGAGTTTGGATTATTTGTATGAATGAGGGAATGGATGTTACACTTTATAACCGAAAATGGCACAAAATACCATAAGAGTGGTTTACTGGATCATAATCATAGGATAACTGGTGCTATATAGAACACATATTTAAAGTTGCTATAGAGCAGTGGTGCTTAACCCTGTTCCTGGAGATCTACCTTCCTGCAAAGTTCAGCTCCAACCCTGATCAAACACACCTGAGTCAATTAATTAGGACCTGAACAGCACTTGATAATTACAGGCAGGTGTTTTTGATATGGGTTGTAACTGAAATCTGCAGGAAGGTAGATCTCCAGGAACAGGGTTGGCCACCCCTGCTATAGAGCTATGAACTGGAAGGATGGCAGGGGTCAAGTTGGAGCCAGAGGGACAGACCAGGAACAGGAAGGGTGATCCAAGCAGGACCAAACAGGGCACAAGTCTTGATGGGGACAGGAAGGGCTGGAGGCCTGACTGTAGCAGACAGGGCTGAAGACCTGGGAAGTCAGCAGGAGGAGCTTGGGCAGTGCTTGGATAGCAAGGAGCTGGACTGGGGCTGGCAGACAAGGAGCCTGGGCAGCGCAGACACTGGGCCAAATTCTAAGGTTGAAGCCATCACTGGCAA